TCATCATCATCATCATCATCATCATCATCATCATCATCATCATCATCATCATCATCATCATCATCATCATCATCATCACAGCATTGCATCTACTGATTGTACATACTTCAACCCACTATCACCATTCATTGTTATCACAGTCACCTTCTATAGTGCGGTCAAAAATTCGTGGCGCAACTTATCCTCAAATCATATTATCTCTTTAACTGGTGAATCAATGTCACCCATGCTTTGCACAGCAGTTTGTATCAATTTGTCTTAACTAAATCATATTTTTCCACAGCAATTGAGGCTAGATTGAAAAACTTCTTCATAAATTTATATAAAATACTACAAATCTTCTTCACGCGGAAAATAGAATTGTTCACAGCACTTCCCATTTCTCACATACATTTTGTATACGCATATGGCCTACGTCACAACTCACCAATGACACTTTTTAGTGGCAAAACCAGTTATAAGAAACTATTTTTTATAGTGAACACATTTTTTGCAAAAATGATTCTCAAAACATACGTTTAATAAGCATAATGTCCCGATTCGAAAAACATGACGGACTTGCAATTAAAAGCATATTTCCCCAGCTGTAAACATTTTAAAATCTGTAGAAACCACTCACATGGATTTTTTACTACTAATTATTAAGGAATTTTCTATAATAGAACTAACAGGTGTTTACAAAAATGTTGATCTGTTAAGACAAATTGATACGATTGACTTAGCAAAAATTGGAGAACGTATGTTCGATAGTTGGGGAGATATTTGATAATAAGGTGCGCCACGAATTATAATTTTGACCGCACTGTAGACAACAAGGAATCACGACTCAAAAAATAAATCACTAACGCGGCACGATAGCGATGAGAAGACACAAACTAGACTCTGGCGTACATCTGTCTACAGCGTTTATGCCTACTCAAATGTTACTGAACAAAATGAAAGCAAACAAACAAACAAACAACAAAAAGTCAAACACATATAGAGGAATGACGGGATCAGACGTACGCAGGGGATAAATGCACGTTACGAACTCGCAAGCTCAAGGATATCGTCCTGCGTAAGTACGTGAAAAGATACGGTTTTTATGGTCCAGTACCCCACACCCTTACATTCTCCCTGTCTCTCTCTCTCTCTCTCTCTCTCTCTCTCTCTCTCTCTCTCTCTCTCTCTCTCTCTTTCTCTCTTTCTCTCTCTCTCTCTCTCTCTCTTTCTCTCTTTCTTTTTCTCTCTCTGTCTCTCTCTGTCTGTCTCTTCGTCTCTCTCTCTTTCTATCTCTCTTCTTTTTTAAAACTCTCTGCCTCTCTCAGTCTCAGTCTCTGTTTCTGTCTCACTCCCTCCCTCCCTCTCTCTCTCTCTCTCTCTCTCTCTCTCTCTCTCTCTCTCTCTCTCTCTCTTCCTCTCTCTTTTATTATCTCTCTTAATGCATATCTCTAGCTATAATAATTAATGGGAAGAATCGCGAAAACACTACATTTGAATTTCACGGGAAAAAATATAGACTAACCAGAAAAAACATCGATAACAAAAAAAACAACAAAAAAACAACAACAACACAACAACAACCTCAAAAACAGCAATGTGTCTACATAATTATGCAAAAACTATTATTAAAATGCAGCAAAAAAAAAAAAACCCTAACAAAACAACAACACTTCCACCATGAATAAATACTCGGGGTTTCAGAAAAAGTACGTGATCTTCCTCACTTACAATTTAATTATTATCATATTTGTTTTGTATAGTTATTATCATAATTATTGTGTCTTTAAAATGCATTGACAAACTCATAAAACTTAAAATTTTGCCAAAACAAATACAAAACTGTTAGTTTGGTTTGGGAACATATACCCCAAAAACATCACGCGCGTATCTGAAAATTCAGATATCGATTTGGAATCGTTCTTTAAAAAAAAGTTAATAACGTGAATAATAGAAAACTTTGAAATTGATAGAGGAAATTGGAGGATCACTCATTAGATTCAATACAACTTTTTACCCCAAGTCATTCAGGAATGCAGATGAAGTAATACGTTATTTTTTGGTCTTACTTAAATGTAGGATTCTTTTTACACCCCCTTCCACACAATTTAGGTGATCTAGGGTGGCAGGCTTTAGCCCTGCCTGTCAGGGACAACCCGGACTGAGAGAGAGAGATTACACACCACCTCAGTAAAAAGACAATGACACACAGTAACAATTTCCCCCCTAGCGAAAATCGATCTCAGGTGTTCTGTGTGTGGCGGTCAAAGATCGTATATAACAAGATTGTTCACTCGGCTAAAGAAGGTGTCCGCGGAAGTCCACGCATTGGTTCAGATGGCGCTACAAGCAGTCTTTGTTTTGAATATCTCTTTCGTTTCTCCAGAAGAAGAATAGGAATAGCACAGTTTGTTAATTTCACTTTTATTGTTTTACACACAAGTAGCGTAACTCTGTTCGCAAAGTCCGCACTTTTTCGAAGAGGGCACCACTGAATTTTTAGGACAGGTTTTTTTAAATTGGGTCAAAGAGAGGGGTGAACTATCTTGTTATACACGATCTTTGGTGACGGCAAAGCATTTTACTAGTACACCACAGACGTTGATAAGTGATAAGTTGAAAATGTGTCCCAATTCTAGGTTCACCCTTGTGAGAGTTGTAGACATGATGGGTCGCTGTTTGGCGATACCATTAATTCATTTTGCTGACTTGCAGTTCATTTTAGACTGTGAAAGATCTTGTCAGTTGTTTTTTTTAGTGTTTGAGCGCTTTACCGGCTACTTGTACTGTATACTTCCCGGGAAAGTGGGAATGTTTCGGAGTGTTCTATATGGTCTGCTGGGGTAATAATATAGTGTAAAGCATATAGAGCCTGCTTTCGGGTGGGGATATGCGATATGCAAATGCAATTTATTGATTATTATTATTATTATTATTATTTTGTGTGTTTGTTTGTTCGTTTGGGAAAAATGAAATGGTAAAGGGTTAGCGCCCTTATCAACACTAGCACGTTTGTTATTTCAGAGGACGCGGGACCTCAGACTGAGTTTAAAACTTTGCCGCCTCATCTCGCAGATTGGCGATGTTTTCCACCCAGTTTCTTTGAATTTCCCCCCAAATATGATGGCAAAGTGTTAACGTCCATCGCCGAAAGGACCCACGTTTGTATATTTGTTTGAGTGAAAAGAAGCACATCGACACGATAGCGGGTCATTTACTGCAGGGAGGTGGGGGGAGGGGGAGGGGGGAAGAAAGAAATACAGAAACAACAAGGGGTAAGAAAAATACGTTGGAGATATAAGTGGAGCCCTCCAAGCACCAGCTTGTAATCCAAACTTCTACAACCGCATTGGGATTTGATCATAATGATATTTGGAACAAGCACAACGCTTTACGGAAATCTAGACAAATCTCTATCAATGGCTTGTCACCTCGGAACGTACAAAATAGAGACACAAAAGACACACAAAGGACATGACGTAGGGTACATAGATTTGTTCGGTGTCTCGCATTTCAAGAGGAGATTTTCACGAGGTATACATTACATAATAATCAAAGCTACGCGTTATATAAAAAAAGAAATCACAAAAAACGTACATTTACAAGTAGAATTATGATATGCAAATATTATTAATATTCTTATTATTATGATGGTCAAAATACGAATCTCAGCGTCAGGCTTGATGAAGACATGAACATGATTCTCTGTACAGAACTCGGCAGCGAGTGCATCAAGGACAACGTGTACAGCAGCAGACAAATTTGCTGGTCAAACAGAGCCACACTATGTAGCATCGTGGAAAAACCGGGCGCTCGTCAAAATCAGGAAATAGAAGAAGCCAGCATTTTTCCATCAGTTAGGTAGCGCTTCGAGCAAATTATTTTAAATTATTTTTAGAAGCCCAACCCCCCCCCAACGCCAGTGACGGAATGTAGGAAGGAGACTGAAACAAATAAACCCCCCCACACACACACACCTGAAGAAATCCCCCCAAATCTACAAAAACAAAACAACAATAAACAAAGAAATTTAAACTCAACACCCTTTATGTTAATTCAAAAACACATTCCTGTGTGGATCTTAAATGTAGATTTACTGTTTACAAGGACTCTCAAGCTTTTGAAGTCACCAAACTTTGGTAGCCATTTTCTGGCCACTCTTACTTCTGCCACCAGGTGGCTGTTAGCTCTCTTAATAACAAATGCCTCGCTCGACTTCAAATTAAGATAAGTGGGCTTTTTTCCTCCTCAAAAGCAAGAAAAAAGAACAAGCTTTAAGATGATACCAATAACTCAATATGCTCAAAATCTGACGAGCGCCTGATTCCACCACGTCGTGACACATAATACATACATAATTCAGAAATCACAGCGATACGTGTTTTGTTAAATATAACAACCAGCAAACTCCAAACTGTGGACACAAGGACAAGTATAATTGTCATCCGTGGCCGCCCTTCCCTTGGATCCAAAAGTTGTGTCCCCCCTTCACATAAACCACTTGGAGCCATCGTTTTTCAAATCCCCGCATGCGCTCTCGTGGCCCGGAAATAGTTCTACATCCGGGTCAGTGGGCTTGGTCTTGTAGCTGTCCTGGAGGAGAATCTCCAGCTGTAGGACTGGTGCGGCGATCACGTGACTCAGGGGGGCGTTCCTCAGGTAGACGGCGAACGCCGAGATATTCGTCTGGGACGAGATCTGTACGAGATTATGGGGGAAAGGTTTAGGTGTTAGTGAGAGTTTCATACATCTGGGCGAGATGATGGGGGGAGGGGGGGGGTAAGGTTTAGGTTTTAGTGAGAGTTTCATACATCTAGGTGGGGTGATGGGGGAAAGGTTGAGGTCTTATTGAGAGTTTCGTACATCTGGTCGAGATGATGGGGGAAAGGTTGATGTTTTAGTGAGAGTTTCATAGATCTGGGTGGGATGATGGGGGGAAAGGTTGATGTTTTAGTGAGAGTTTCATAGATCTGGACGAGATGATGGGGGTCAAAGGTTTAGCTTCTAGTGGGAGTTTTATAGATCTGAGTAGATGATTGGGGAACAAAGGTTTAGGTTTTAGTGAGAGTTTCATAGATCTGGGCGAGATAATGGGAAAAAAGGTTTAAGTTGATTTGTTTTAGTAAGAGTCATATAAGTGCCGAAGATTAGAGGTGTTACAAGAGAGTAACAAACACAGAAAAGACGGAGGGGAGATAACGACGATATCATTTTAATAGGAAAGAAGGAGCAAACCACACCAGAGCACCCTCCAATCACACACGGTTTAAGTTTTGGTGAGAGTTTCATAGATCTGGGCAAACACACCTGGAAATGACAGAGCAGACACAATCACCAAAAGGGGATCTAGACAGGAACAACCCAACATTCCAACTTCATACAACACTGCAAAACAAATCATTAAAAGCAACAACAAAACAGGATTGGATGCACAGATGGGCCTTGGGAAAGACAGGCAGAGCAGTTTTCAAACATATGACCACAACAAAACGAAATGACAATGCCAACCACATACAGAAGAAAAAAAACCTGGCAACGATCTTCCGCCTACGAACAGAACATATACAGCTCAACTTTCACTTGAACATAATAAACCCGGAACTTCCCCCAATGTGTCCCTTGTGTGACTATACATACGAGACAGTGGATCATCACCTTTTCCACTGCACAGACTTAAATGACATCAGAGCTACCCTTCTCCCTCCGAGATCTAACATTGACAACACACTCTATGGAACATTACAGCAACTGCAGCAAACCTGCACTTATCACTACATGGCATTGGACAGAAGGGCGAGAGCCCAGCTGTTGCTGGATCGATAACAACAACAACAACAGCAGCAACAACAACAGCATAGATCTGGGCGAGATTGGGTGGGAGGGGGACGAAAAGGTTTAGCTTTTAGAGAGAGTTTCAGAGATCTGGGAGAGATGATTGGAACAAAAAGGTTCATTATCATCGATATCCTGTAGTTACCTGTGACTCGTCGGAGCTCCCATAGACAGCTTCCCCCGATGTCCGACTGGCTGGCTCAGTACCGGCCGGCAGTTTGCTGTGCTGCTGGACACAACAGCCGGCCATCCAGAACAGGAAGGGAACCTGGACGTCATGACCCGAGGTCACCACGGGGTCA